GCCAACCCCTCCCTCGGTGGAGCCCCCCGGGAGCAGCCCCAGCAGCAGCAGGAGCCGGGAGTGGGGACAGGAGAGCACGGCCCTGACACGGGGCTGAAATGCGTCACTGGGGCTGGTGGCTGCTCGTGCTCTTCCCTATCAAATGGAAGCAATTAACGAGCTATTCAGCCTGCTGGAAGCTGGACACGGCGAGAGGGAACAGAGCAGGGATGGGCAAACCTCAAACAATGCAGACAGTCTGGGTGCTTGTCTAGGACAGACCCCAATTAACAGCTTTGCTCGGGTGGGGAGCAAATCCAGCACTGCCACGGGGAGCAGTCGTGCCAGGGGCTCTGGGGACCTCTCTGGAGTCCCCACTTCTCTCCTCCTGCTGTGTGTTTTCCAAGGATCACAGGGGAAATGACGCACAGCAAAGCAGAAGGCAGCTCCCCCTGCTCGGAACAGCAGCACAGAGAGCTGCCACCATCCCCTGAGCAGAGCACCCCAAAACCCCAGCACGCCCTGCCAGGCCAGGCCCAGGTGACACTCACAGCACTGGCCACGTCCAGAGTCTCCTGGTCACCCCCACGGGCTGCAGGACCAGTGGGTGAGGGCACCAGCCGTCCAGGGAAATGATGGGAATAATGCACAGCAGAGAGACTTGTGGCCATGCTCACACACTTGCAGGCGTTCCAGGCTGCTTGCAGGCTGTGGGGGAGAGGTGCAGCAGGGCCCCTTCACTCAGCATGGATTTGGCACCTTCCTGAAGTGTATGGAGGGGAAAACACAGCCAGGGCAGCCTCGAGCCTGCACAGCACACTCACACCTCACACCTCACACCTCAGTCCATCCCTCTGAGCCCGGGCTGGGACAGTCCCCACCCAGAGGGCAGGCAGGGAGGCTCGAGGGATTGGTTTGCTTCTCTCCAGGTCTATTTCTGGTGCCCACAGCTGAGCTGTGGGAGGTTTGGCACCTCTCTCCCCCTCCCTCCGGGGAGAGATGCATGAGGTGGGTGGGTGCAGCGCTTTGCTGCCGAGGGACTCGGGCTCTGCCTGGTGGTGTGGGGGCTCAGGGATGGGATGGGGGGAGTTGTGCTCCTGAGACACTGTCTGGGACCCCCATCCTGCCCCTTGTGGGGTCAGAGAGGGTCGTGGCTGTGGGGGATGAGGAAGGGGGTGCTCTGTGGGTGCCTGGGAAAGGCTGGTTGGAGGGCACAGAGCCAGAGCTCTCCTGGCCCCTGCTCTGCACAGGTACCTGCACCCCAGGTACCCCTTGCTCTCAGCTCAGAGGACATCCCAGCTGGCTGATTTTGGGAACACGGTGATGGCAAGGAGGGGGAGGTGTGTGGGGGAGCTCTCCCCTTCCAGCTCTGCCCCACCCTGGTCAGGATTCAGGGCCCAAAGATGGGGAGAGGAAAAAAAAGGGGCTCTGCAGGACAGAAGCAAGGGCAACAAGGGAGGGCTGCCCTGGCTTCTGTGCTCCAGGGGCTGCCTCGCAGAGCCAGGCTGGGTCATCCCCACGACTCGTGACGTGGCTGCCAAGTGTCCCCCCCCCCACCCCAAGAACCTGGGGGTGCAGGGCAGGTTGTCTGAGCAAAAGGTACGTGTTCAGAAACGCCTGTCTGGGCCAAACACCACAGCTTTGGAGCCACCAAACCCTTCTGTGCTTCACAGAACCTCCCCGTGCCCAGCTCACCCCCCAAGGGTGCATTTGCACGGGTTTGTGGTCCTGCAGGTCCCCACTGGGTCACCTGCCCTGGGGGGGGACAGCTCATGTCTGACGAGGACAACACGACAACAAGAGGGGGGAACAAGGCCACAGGTCCATCAACGGCAGCTCCAGGGCTTTGGGGACAGACAGGGACACCCTGAGGCCGAGGGCACTTCAGCATTGTCCTGCCCCAGGCGGGGATCCTGCGGGGAAGGGGGGGTCGGGTGGGAGCTCGTTGCCGTCTCCTTTCTCAGTGCTTCGATCTCCATGGTGACAAAGGGAACATGAGATCCAGGTTTAAAATATACTCTGCCTCCTGTTCTTCCCTCGGGCTGAGGAAGAGAGAGAGAAAGAGGGAGAGAGAGATGGGTCAGGGAGGTCAGACAGTGACTCTGCAGAGCAGCTGAGCCCTGAGGTGCTCTGGGTTGGCAGATCCTGAGCCCACAGCATGCAGGGAGGAGGGAGCTGTGCCTCAGGACACCTAAAAGTGGCTTTAGTGCTGTGGTAGGTGACAAGCAAGGCTGCCCCAGGGGTCATTTGTGGACTAAAGGAGGTAACAGGGAGCAGGTTTAGCTTTTCCCTATGTGGGACCCACAGGGAGTAACCCCAGTGCCAGCATGACCCCTGGCACCACTATGGAGAGGCCAGAGGGCTTTTCCCCCATCCTACCTGACTGCTGGAAGGCTGAGCCTCGGTATCCAGGGTCCTTCTGAAGCTGGATCTCCTTCAGGGAGAAGATGGAGGCATCTGGGCAGAGGGGGCAGAGAGAGGGGTCAGTCCAGCTGATTTACAAACCCAGAGCCAGGGGGGACAGCCCAGAGCTCTTCTCTCTCTCTCTCTCCTACTCCAACCCATCCCACCTAAATTACTTCTCGCTCTCACAGCCGTCCAGCTCCCACCTCACCCCGCTGCAGGAGCACCTCTGAGTGAGCAAAGACAAGGGGCTGCCAACCACCCCCTGGGGCCGCCCAGCAACCCCTTCTGCCCCACCCGAGGGGCCAGGCAGCACTTACTGTCAGGCAGGAGGTGCACCCTGTCTCCCAGACTCTTGAAGTAGGGGTGCTGCAGGGCTGCCTCTGCTGAGATCCGGCCCTTGGCTCTGTACTGCACAAATTCCCAGAGAGAGGACATTACACACAGTGTGCACATCTGGGCACCTCTGCCCATCTGGGCCACGTGCTGGGTGACAGAGCCAGCGATGGGGAGTGCAGGCGGTTCCCAGTGCCATTTGGAGCGGCACAGGGCACAGCACATGCCGTGGGAGCACGGGAAGGCACTGGCCACGCTGTACCTCACGGGTCATCAGCTCTGCGCCCTCTCGCTTGTGTGGGAGAGGACACAGGGTAAAGGGTTCACCATCCTTAGTGGGAGGTGCTTTGGGACAGCTGTAGGGCCACGGCTGGTCCTGCAGCCACAGCTCCTCTCCTGCCCAGTCCCAGTGAGGGCAGCCAGAGCACCTTCCCTGGAGCAAATCCCTTTGCCACCCACCCGGGCCACTCTGCCACTCACCAGAAGGAGGTTTGTCAGCAGGTCAATGCCTTCTGAGTCCAGCCTGAGAGAAAAAGGGAATAAAACCAGGAGATAGTCAAAGAATTGCACCTGGGGATGAGAGGCACTGCAACCTCCAGCACCACAAGGAGAAAATGAAACTGGTCTCCCCAGGCTCCCCTTTCCACCCAGCAAGAGCCCCCCTCCCTGGGTTTGGTGTCCCTGCTCCAGGAGGTACCTGGGGGCATGATTTATTAAGGGCTGGGCTCGGTACTGGGTGAAATTGTAAGCCTTGAACTCCTCGTTGGATGTTATCCCAGGCCAGGTATCTTCTGTGGGGGTACCTGGGAGGGGGGCAGAGGGAAACCTGTCACGGTCATTTGGTACAGAAAGAAAAGCCTCCTGAGTGGGGATCTCCTGTCCCCGAGAGAGAGGCCGTGGCTGGCGCTGCCCGGGGCAGCCAGCAAGAAGCAGCTCACCCTCAGCCCTCTGCCAGCCTGGAGGGGGGCTCTGGGCAGACTCTGCCCTCCCCTGCCTGTGCCAGACCACCCCTGCCCACCCCCTACTCACACCGGCCGTGCTACCCCATGCCTGCCCACCCCTGTTCCCTCCTGCCCGCCCCAGAGCA